AAAAGATCTTGGACATGATCAAATGTTGTTTCACTGCCTATGCTGTCTGTCATCAGTAAATGTAGCCCCCCCCCCCCCCTCAATCCTTTGCAGTGAAGTTATCGCTTGATCAGAGTTTCATTCCAAGGATGGTTTCATAATAAAATTAATGGTGTTATCAATTATCATATTTACTAACAATTAAACAGATCCAGAGAGCACCCAGATGTCACACACAGTCTACTTCCACCCTACTTCCAGTAATGTATTACATGAATTTTGTTTTGACTGGTAATTGTTATCTTTATTACAGGCTTTCAAGTCACTACTCTTGTTTTTATTGCTTTCACCATATGATAATGAACAATCAGATCTTATGCATCGTATTAGTGAAGATAAGAATTTAGATGATATACTTGTGTATAGGTGAGAAGTATAAAGATTACATTAATTGTGTCATTGAAGGCACTTGTAATTTGGGATGTGGAGATCTATGTGCAATTTAAATTTGAACATTAATCATGTCATTGAAGTTAGCTAGTCATTTAGTGTGGTAAACTGCAAACAGCTTCTTAGGAAAAAAGCACTAAATACATCACCTGTTGACAAAAGGCAATGTGCAGCAAATGACACGTTACAATGCCCTGTTAAATCGCAAACCATTGCAGTGAAGTTATCACTTGATCAGAGTTTCATTCCAAGGATGGTTTCATAATAAAATTAATGGTAAAAAGAAAAAGAAACAAATGAATCCTGTATATAGAATAAATGACAAACCTGAGGAATGTGTTCATATTTTATGCCATCACCCCCTACCTGGGTATATATTGATGAACAAATGCATTTGAGCTCATGGTGATGTTTCCAGTATCCATGTCAGACATTTCAAAGTTTTTTCAAAGCTTTATGTGTTTTTTTATGTTATTTAGGAATCTGTTAAAATGTTTCACCACTTCTGAGTTAATGAGGTGGCAGCAAGTGTGCTCTATTTATGAAAGGGAATTGAAGGTTGGTAGCGCTAACAATCCATGCACCATGGTGTTTGAAGACACTGATGATGGTAAGAAGAGATGGGATGACCTCAGAATACGAGTTGTGGAACATGTAAGTTGTAAGATATGATACAGCAGGCATAGCTGAGCAATTTATTGATTTTACTAAAAATGGAAGTGATGAAGAAGTCTTGCATCTTGAGAAATTTAGACGTTGAGATGAAAACGAGATATATAAATGTACGGTAAAACAGCCATTGCAGCATACCTTTGATGGTTCACACAACGTTTTAAAACTGTTTTCTATTTTCCACCACAGCAATGCTCAACAATATAAATCAGTCTTTTGTTTTATGTGTTACTCGAACTCTCAGTCGACTGTTTTTGTGGCATTGCAAACTCTCAATTGTCATTTTTTTTACAATTGTGAACTCTCAATCGTCAGTTTTTTTACAATTGCGAACTCTCAATAGTCTTTTTTTTTTTCGCCATTGCGAACTCGCAGTGACTCTTGCAATGGCTGTTTTTTTTCCATACATTTACATACCTCTGAAAACTGGACCCTGTGTGACCTTTCAAATAAATATGGTAACAAGAAGAGAAATAACTTGTATCGTCTATTGTATTTATAGAACATGAGAGTCATGGCTAAATACTACACCAGAATTACTACAAAGAGAATGTCCCAATTGTTGGAATTATCTGAAAATGTAAGAACACTTTTTTTTCTCAACTTTCAAATTATGATATGGTGTGAAATACAAATCTTCTTAGTTCTCGTCGGACACAAGTTGAAAATATAACTTTTGCTCCAGTTTTGGTGTCCGTTTGACTCGTAGCCATGTCGATTTTATTTTCAGGATTTGGGTTTTATGAAATTTAACCACCTGACAGCCATTTTGTTCATTCAAACGGAGACTATTAATTTGGGTTGTTCTGTCCGTCCTCCGTATTTACATGAAGACAATACATAATGTCTTACATGTGCGCTTCAAGTTACTTTATGATCGGAGCAAAGATGGTCGACTGGCGGCCATTTTGGATGTAAAATTTGCTATTTTTGATACCTAAACGTGTCCACAGCAGTTTCTCGGAGATGACTGGGCCGATTTGGATCAAAGTTAGTATGATGATCATACATATTGGGTTGTAGGTGCACGTCATTTTTTTCGTGATTCAAACAAATATGGCCGACTGGTGGCCATCTTGTTTTTCATGGTACCCATGCTACTTTATCTTGAATGCAAGAATGTTTCTGTTTAAATTTTGTACAAAGATATTATACCAAGAGATACATCTGCACCAACATGATTTTTGTGATTCAATTCAATATGGCTGGTCGATGCCCAATTTTCATGTAAAAGCGTTAAATCATCATTTTTGACTCCCATGTGCGAAGCACATAATGGGAATCTTTGCAGTTAGTGTGTCTGTGTGTGTATGTGTGTATGTGTGTTCCACTGCTATCTCAAGAACCATACATCGGTTTTTGATGAAACTTGGTGCATATATGCTCTGGGCCAATGTGCAGATTTGATTAGGTTTTGGTAAAAATCCATGCTCGTTAATTACCTAATTTGCATGATAATTAGCTAATTTTTAGCTGTTCTATGACTGTTCCACTGATATCTAAAGAACCACTCATTGGATTTTGATGAAACTTGGTACATAGATGCTCTGAACATATGCGCAGATTTGATTAGTTTTTCGTAAAAATCCGTGCATATTAATTTCCTAATTTGCATGATAATTAGCTGATTTTTAGCTGTTCCATGATTGTTCCACTGATATCTAAACAACCACTCATTGGATTTTGATGAAACTTTGTACATACATGCTCTGAACTAATGCTAGGTTTTGATTAGTTTTTGGTAATAATCCGTGGATACTAATTACCTAATTTGCATAATGATTAGTCAATTTTCGGTTTTTCCACTGATATCTTCAAGTA